CTTGGGCATCGCATCATTGGAAGAACAGTGTCACAGATTGCAGGGTGTCTTTATCTCATCTGGCATTTGCTTCACTTGTTTACAAAATTTGGACCGAACGAATCGTAGAATGTTCAAGAAGAAAAGGATCTCAGCAAACTCACTGATCTCTAAAATCCCTGAATCAATCAGGTTGAAAGATGGTTGACCCTCCTATGGATTCTTCGATCAATAGGTGTATCTTTAATGAATGGGATATTCCATGGTCTGTCCTACTCCTCCGGCAGATTAGGAATTGTTGGTGGTGAGGCTCTCACCTTGCTGCTAATCGTTGTGTCACTAGAATTTGTGATTAACGATCATGTTTGCTACTTCCAATTTGGGCTTCTTTAGGGCTGGGCTTGTAATTTCTTTTTGGGCTGGGCCTTTATATGTTTATATCCTAGCCTTCCTCGGGATTTTGTAATTCTCTTTTCTATTTATGAAATTAACCTTTACCTTTCAACAAAAAAGAAAGAAAAATATTCAGTCTTTCAAGCCTGCTTTCATTAATGAAAGCCTGTAGAAGGGCCACATCACAACAAGCCTACGAAGAGTCAATCCGAACTATCCATGAACAACTTGATTTATATATAGCCCTACCTTAACCTTGTAAAGATTGTATTATAATTATAATGTCATGTTACACTTTGGCATTGTTGACTGCTGATGTCCATTATGAGCTACAGGAATATCATATATGTTATATTGATCTTCAACCTTTGATCAACACTAGTTTTGAATAAGAACCACCTTAAAATATTCTTAATGGATTGGGCTCACGTATTACGTCCTAAACAATTGGACGAATCGTTAATCAATGGCTCTTGATGATCTATAAATTAATTAAATATATAAAATATCTAAATATTTATTGGAACATTAAAAAGTCTAATGGATGACAATGAAATAGAATTATAACCACGGTGAGTTATGATGGAAAAATAATTATCTATACTTAGATTTATTATTAAAAGTACAAAGAGTTACGCTACATTATTTATTTATTTATTATTTATATTAAATAATTAAATAATATAAATTTACCTTTTTTCCCTCCCTTGAACCCTTTCCTAAATATAAATTTACTTTTTTCTAATTCTATTATCTTTCTAACTCTTTCCATTATGATAATAATTTAAGTTTTCTATTCTCTTTCTAATTCTTTCTAAATATAAACTTTTTTATAATAAAAAATTAAGGTTTTTCAACACAAATTGTACAGTCCTAAGAATACAATAAATGTAATATAAATCATACTATAAAAAACACCTATGATAAATAAAGAGAAAAAGGGGGCAATTTGACTTTCTGAAATAGACCATGCATATTAAGACACAATGAACTACAAAATTGCAGGATAAAAGGGTTTGGAGATTGAGAAATGCATATTAATATCATTTTTTATTTTTTATTTTAATAAATATATCAGCAACTAATAAAATTTAATTATAAAAATAAGATATTATAGTAGAACACAAACACTTCCTTATATTTTATTTTATTTTTTATGTGATATTGTTTAAAGACAAAAAGCATATCTATATCTATATACTTGTCGTTTCTTTACATATTTCATACTCATAATAATACAAATAGATTTTTTCATTCTAGAATTCTATCACTTTTAAGTTTTCTATGATATACAAACTAAATATTTTAAAGATTATCTCTGGGTAGTTGATATTACTCAAACTTCTTTAACAAGGGTAGTATTTTTTACTTTTTTTTTTTTAAACATTGCTTTGAATTTATAAATTTTATTTTTATTTGACAAAAATCACTGTACCTATAATTCTTTCCACTCTAAAACTCTAAACAAAATAACAAAAAAGTTGAATCTTCCACTCACCATTAATATTACCTAAGTTTATTCTATTATTTATTATCACTATTTGATGATTTTGCAAAACAATTGAAAAAAAACATTTTACTCATAATAATATAAATAGTTTTTTTTTTTTTTTTTTCATTATAGAATTCTATCACTATAAGCTATCTAAGATATACAAACTAAATAATTGTGACGTTTATCTCTATGTAGTTGATATTACTCAAACTTCTTTAACAAGTGTAGTAATTTTATTTTTTCACTACGTTTTATTGAATGTGTAGAATTTTATTTTTATTTACACATCTATATCTATCTATCTTCTGGACTATATAAATATAATATATAATATGTAGATAATTATTACAAGTACAAAGGGTTTCCAATCATTTTAATTTTTTTATAATGTATTTTAATTTTTTATAATATTATTCATTTCAATAACTTAGTAAATATATGCTGGTGCATGGTTGTGTGACTTTTATTTCCCTTAGTATTTAGAAGATAAATATGGAATAAAAATCTAATTACGACTAGCGTCCTAATCTATGACTAGTTAAAGAACTATTAGGATCGAAATCTAAAGGGACAGTTTTTTCATAGGCTCTTTGACAGAAATTTCTACAATTTATGATAAAAAAAAATAAAAATAAAAAATGGACATCATCTCCTTGCTTGTGAAATTATACTATGAGAACACATAAAGAAAAAGATAGTGTTTATCACGTAGGAGACAGAACAATTGAGACAGAACAATCTAATGTAAAATTTATTATTATTATTATTTAATGTAAATGTTACTTTAACTATATGAAGTCATTAATTTCTAATCTGCTCAATTGATATTTCTATCATTTCTTTTGTAAGTCCAGTATTATGAAATAGAGTTATGTTACAAGGCAAGAGCCATAAATTCTTTTCACAACAATTAACTACTACCCGTTGAAATAGTTTCGGTATCTTTGAATGAATCATTTAATATAGAGTATTGCTATTATCGTTTTGTTTTACGTGTTAGTGTCAAAAAAAAAAAAAAAAAATACTATACCTATTTTTGTAGCATACCAACATGACCCATTAACACAATTATTATTATTATTATTATTATTATTATTATTATTAGTATTATAATGGTGACCCATTAACACAAATTGTCACCTCTTAAAAATGCTAAGTTCGCCGTATCGGCCGGATTGTAACCCTTTTTCAAGAGTCTAATACCGTTACATGTACACCTCCATGAACCGGCCGAATCATAACCCTTTTTCAATTTGTTCCAATCTAAATCCGGCATGCATTCAGATATTGGATTTTTAGCCTAGCATACCAACTAGTCACCCCTAAAGAAACATAAAAGTCATTTAATCATTTAATTGACTTTCCTAGCATTGTGATAACAAATCCGTGGAGTCCCATTTAGGGAGATAATTTACACAGTCTCTCTTTCTGCTTTACCTGTAAATCAAATGGTAGTATGGTAGTAGTAATAAAGTATTTTCATAATTAAGATTAATCCTTAATTTCCGAGGTTAAGTCAAAAATACTTTTTTATTCATGGCCTTGTACTGTTTTGATTAACAAAATTGTTTAATGAATAATAACAGCTACAAGGATGTGGAAATGAGTGGCACCAAAGTATTCTAATATTTGTATATAAAAATAAAGGAATGTACAAAGTTGTAGTAATTACAGTGATATTAAATTGATGAGTCACACTATGAAACTTTAGTAGAGAGAGATTGAACAACACCCAAGAATAGAGACATGAGTGTTGGAGAATCAATATGATTCATGTCGGGTAGGCCAAGATGGAAGCTATTTACTTCTTGAGGAGACTAGTGGAAAGATATGGAGAGAATAACATTAATCTCTTTATGGTTTTTATTGATAGGGAGAAAGCCTCCTAGAGACCTTCACAAAGTAATACATTGACCCAATAAGATATGTATGATCAATGGTTGTGCGACTATAATTAGAACACCTGCAAGGGGTACAAGTGAATTCCCAATGACAGTAGGCTATTCCAACAGTGAGTATTAAGTTCGTACTTTTTTGCTTTGATCACGGGTGACAAGCCACACCTCCAATATGAGATTCCATAGTGTAGGTTATTCGTTGATGATATTGTTTTAGTTGATGAGACTCTAGAAGGAGTCAATGCCAAGTAGAAGGTTTGGAGGAATCTTTAGAACTCAAAAGGATTTAAAGATTAGTTGAAACAAAATTGAATATATAAATTGTAACTTTAGTAAATCTAGAAAGATAATTGACAATGCAATGAGGTTTTAGAATTAAGAGGCGCACATATAGCGAACATTTTTTTTTGTTATTTAGCTCAATTATTCATAACGAGAGATAAATTGGATTTGATAGGCATTTTCCCTTGAGGTTGAAAGGAGAGCTCTATAAAACAACATTTAGACCCGCCATCCTTTTATGGTGCGATGTTAGACTATGAAGGATATGATTACAAATGAAAACATTCACGAGATGGTTGAAGTAGCACTACTTGGATATAAATGCAGTTAGTAAAAGTAAACAGTAAATGTAATATTAGGAAAAAAAAAAAAAAAAAAAAAAAAAAAGCAAAATCACAAAAATATATAGATTGAGTGAATTGACCGAGACTATGACCTTAAAACATAACAATCATAATATATTTTTTGGTTGTAGTATACATGATCTTATACTATTTCAATATATCTCACTAGTTTGGTTTATTTTTACTTATTCATTAACATTCTTGTTTACTTTTCTTGCAAGTTTATTGACTCTTTTCAAGGTGGTATCTTCTAAAAATCAATTACCAAAATCAGTAATAAGAAGAAAAAAAATTACTTATTTAAACCAAAATATTGCACGGCGGTGAGTGAAATGGTTTTCTGAGAGGACAACCATCGAATCAAAATTTAGATGATAATAAAAATAGTTCCTGCATGGGCACCTTTCTAGGTCCAGGAAATACATCCGTCCTTCATCACTAAAAATAAGGTATAAGTTCCCAAAAAAAAAATTCAGCAATCAAGTATATGTGTAGCAACAACAATAAAGTATCATGTGGACATTACATATCAAGTTGGTTATTCTTGCAGATTCTTCTGCAGACAAAGTGAAAAATGCAAAAAAAAAAAAAAAAAAAAAAAAAACATACCTATTTCCCCTACTCCACCCATTCCCATCAATTCTCTTCTTTCAGAAAAGATACCTATATTATTAGGATAAAAGAGGAAAAGTATTAAAATCGTTAATAAACTTATAAAACATATATTCTGAAATTGAAAAGTAAACTTCCAAATCCTTAATTCCCTTGTTCGAGCATCACATCATAACAATATTATACATATGGGTAGAAACAAAAACAAAACAAAAAATGAGTAAATAAAACAGAATAAATAAACATAGCCAATAGTTAAAAATGCAAATTAAAACTTTTTTAAAAAACGCAAGGGTTAGTTACCTGATGACTGAGGAGACATATATCTTGAACCTTATCCTTGCTAAATGTTAAGGCCCGATGCTAACCTTAACAATAAGAAAACACTCAAGTTATGAGGAAGAGGTTTCACAACCTCACTCGTAACAATTAAAACATAGATTGTATTTATATGTGAAACAAAACATTATTAATATCAGCGGATCTCAGCAGGATTTCTAAATGGGATGGGCTAAATCAAAATTTTGTTAATTTATATAGCAAAAAAAAAAAAAAAAAAAAATTCACCAAATAGGATTTAGTTTGCAAAACAATAATTACAGACCTTGATTAGTTGATTTAGGAAAAAATTTTAAACAAAACCCATACATACAAGTTAGCAGTTGCAGAGAGAGGGGGGACAAGCTTGAGAGTTGAGAGACAGCGGCTGAAGCTTGCGAACGGCGAACCCGAACTGAAAGATATGGGTTTCGATTTTTTGAAAAATCTGAAATGATATGCCGATATGGGTTTTGAACTTTTGATTCTTGCAGACAGATAGATAAACTGAAATATATGGGTTTTGCACTTCTGATTCTTCTAGATTTTCTAGTTTGCAGTTGCGGGGGGAGAGAGAGAGAGAGAGAGAGAGAGAGAGAGAGGGCAAGTTCAGATCTAAGAACGAGATTATAGATGGAGATTGGGGGAGGCTGAAATGATTTGCCCTAAATTATTATATCTATTTTTTCTGAGCCCTAGATGTGGCTTGATCTGGGCCATTGGATTGTGTTAGTATAAGTGGGTTCATCTGCGGCTGCATGAGGATTCAGTGTGCCAAAGACCTGAGCCCAAGACGGGGCTTACACGTTCTGCAAGGAAAAGATTGGTGCCACAAATGCAAATTAATTTTTTTTTTTTTTTAAATAAATCCACATTGAATTCCTTCACATTTACGGTGATTGTTAGGTAATACGAGATTAGACCCAAATATGATAAATTATTAGGTGATTTTGATTTATTTGACAGTGAATTAATTTAATAAAAAATTTTTTATTATAAAATTTTGTAATTTATTAATTCATTCTTGTGAGGTTTTTTTTAAATTTAAGAATCTGTATTTAAATAATTTGTTAAATATTAATGGTCTAAAACCATTTAATAATTTCTTCCTTAAATATAAAGCGTTGGATTCATTATTTGCGTATTAAAGTGAGTTTAGGATCAAATGCATGAATGTATCAATTTTTTTCCACATTCATAATAATTTGAATGTTAATTGTTGGACTTCCGACTGCTTGTCATGGTTGTGACCATTGAGCAAGAGGACTATGTGGACAATGAGTTGCCAAATAGTTTTAAAAAAAACACCCACTTCATATTAATTTCCTTTATATACTCCATTTACTTTCAAAGCCGTGTATAAAATTTTTGATAAAAATTTTTTTAAAAGAAAAAATAAAAAACTTGCGAACTAATAAAATTTATGAAGTTATCCCAAATTCTTGGCCAACTCATTAAAGGAGTTGTGAATTGTTAAACTTAAACTTATTATTTAATATTAAATTAAAAACTATTATAGTTATTTTAAAATTACAAAAATACTTCAGGCTTACAAAAATATTAATTAAAAAATATTAAATCAAATTTAACTTTTAAAGTGGTTAGGAAGAAGACGTGGGCATTTGCCTTAGGCTGAAATGATTTGCCCTAAAAGTATACCATATGCATTTATAACATCAATATTTTATTCTTCTTTTCTCTCTCATCCATTCATATATATATATATATATATATATATATATATATATGCATTTATAATTTGGTCAAAGAGTTATTTACTTTATCTGAAAAATTGGGTTGAAAAGCCGAAAGTATCAGTTATGCTGTCAACACAACAACCGATATTTATTTTTCCCGAAAAGTGAATGACTGGTCATCTTTTATTTACGTGTAAATTGCAACAGCAGTGGTCGTTGATGTTTTACATTATGACCGTGATATTCTTCATTGCATTTTTGTTTTAACCATAATTATCAGCGACTATTTAAAGTATTACGCGGATTTATTCTACTTTCGAAAAGTTGAATGATAGCCTTTAGATTAAAAATTAATCAACGATTATGAAAGTTTGTTTAGGTGTGACACGTATCCATAACATAATATCAATTAATAAAATTTTACAACAATTATTGAGGGACTCGAGTCTTCTCTATTCTCTGGTAACCTCTGCATCCGCCCTTGGATGAGTCACGGTTGAATGGGTCCTTACCTTTTTCTATGTTTGTTTGGGCCTAATTTCTTATTGGGCCTCTTTGTTTGTATATTCTCCCTTTTATAAATAAATTTGTTTTTCTTTTAAAAATAATATATATATATGTGTGTGTGTGTGTGTCATTTGTTTTTAGCAGAAGTAAAACCTACCATAAAAAAAAAAATCTTTTAAGAGGAATTGATAACAATTCACATCAAACTGAAAGCCTACCACATGAAAGGTGTTAATTCCATGACCGCAATGGAACCACAAAGATCCCAAATTATTATACATCAATTAGAATTTATAATCCGAAATCAGTTTTAAATAATATAGTAAATGCTATCTCCTAAATCAGATCTCTTTTCGAATCTTTTTTGCATTAAAAGATTCTAGAAACCATTCAACTAAATGAAATTTTGTTTCAACAAAACATAAACCTTTTTTATTACAATATATTCTTGTTGTTATAGTAGTTTCTATTTTAGTTATCTGGGCATCTCTGAACATATATCGACGAGCTCAGACTCGACTCGGTTCATTTGAAGGTCATGTTATATAATTACCATTCCATTTTTTGTGATCATCTTTTGTAATTGTACCAAGAGAGAAGAGAAGAAACATGGAATTCATTTTTAGTTGACTACAATTACTGTTTTTTTTTTTTTTAAAGATGAATGGCCAATATTGATTTTTCAGTTATAACTTATAATGATAATCATCACAAATGTTTGTTTCAATATCATGCACCCACTGAGGCCCTGTTTGTTTCCATGGGAATGTGAGGAAAGAAATGGAATGATTTGGACTTTGGAGGAAAACTGCATGTTGTGTTTGTTTTGATGAAGTATAGATTGAAGGGTTTAGAGGCAGGAGAAGAGGTTGGCTAACCCCTTGCACAATGACCTTTTTATCCTTTTAAAAGTGGGTGAAAATGAAGAAAAATGATGAGAGAAATTGATTTTTTTTCTTTTTGTTTGGGCATTGATTTGTAATGTTAAGCACTTTTTAAAAAAAAAAAAAAAATTAAGTATTTAGTGATATATTATATAAATTAATTTTTAATTTATGTTAGAAATATTATTTAAAATACTTATATTAGTATTAATTTTATAATAATGTCCTTTAATAAATTAAAAATTGTTTACTATTCCAGTATTTGTTAAATGTTAATAGGACGATTGGGATATGCAGCCTACTCAGAACTGTTTGGCCCAAATTAAAAACACAATGAATTCTAGCAGGATTGCATCCTAAAATCTTCCAAATGGACCACTTACTTCGAACGAGAGCAACCCTCTAGCCAAGTTTAATCTGAGACCACAGAATTGTATATTGCAGAAACATTGGGCTTCATGTTGGGCCTACCTACGTCTTATCCATAACACTTGGCCTACCAAATTTAGAATGAAAATAATCAGATTCAATTTTAAGACTACATTGTCATGGTTATTTGTCACCATTTTTACTTGTATTTCTCTTAATTTTTTAATGAAATTTGAGCCAAATGTTGGTTTTTAAGTTCCATTTAAATTAATTTCTTAATAAAATTGTGCTCTGCACTTTGAGAGTAAGATTAAACTCTACATGACATGACACTGTGCCAGTTTTAAGGACCTCAATGAAATGACCTAGGATGACTCTAGCAGAAACAAACTCAAACCTGAATATAAATCTAACGAACTAAATATATACAATTACTCTTCTCTTCAATAAGCGGCACCAAGAATGTATGGGTCGGGGGACTACATATGTTCGATAGTGAATTATGTTGTTCATTAAGAGACCTGACACCATTATCACCAAAAGAAAAAGAAAAACAAAAAAGTTAGCGTGATCTAACTTGAACCAAGGCCCTTGCTCTGGCCCATAGGTTTGAATGCTTAACATTGCTTGATAATTGAAATGATTGAATCTTCAATTCCAATTCGATCTAAGGTGTGGAATTGATATGCTAGCAAACATATTTAAACATTAATTTTAGATGCAATAAGCCACAAAAGTAAAAATGTAGACTAATGGAATTTGGATTCTTTTTGGACGTTATTACAATGAACTTACTTGATTGAGAGAGGGAGGGAGAGAGAGAACATCAATATTGAGACGTTTACTGGTTATGTGTTTGACTTATTTTCTAGATGTTGTTACATGAGACTTTGATTTGTTTGGGTGTATATAATTTATAGTTATATGTGTCTGTCTTTTGGTCCCTTCTTGTATCTGTTCTCTGTATTATTATTATTTCATGGAAACTGGAAAGTCTCACTCCCTCAATCAGAACATCGCATGGGCACGTGATGTGGGAGCGTGGGACCATGTGAGCAATGCTGGAAAGGAAGGCTGGCTGTGTGTGAGTGTGAGTGTGAGTGTGAGTGTGTGTGTGTGTGAGAGAGAGAGAGAGAGAGAATCCCATCCCCTTGCATCTAAGTAATGATCGTGAATGAAACAAAAATTAGGGTTCAACCCTTGGAGAAATTATTAAATAACCTTTTTTTTTTTTTTTTTTTGCATCTAACTAATGATCGTGAACGATACAAAAATTAGGGTTCAACACTCGGAGAAATTACTAAATAATTTTTTTTTTTAAAAAAAAAAAAAAAAAAAAAGAAAGATTGTGAAAAAGAAAGTATGACTATCATCAGTCGTCATCACTAGAGTCAACGTTGACATCAATATCCTCAAACATTGACATTAACATCCTCATCTAGAATTGTTCATCTAGAATCACATAATCCTCTTGCATACATATACATTTGATTAAGGTAAACTAAAAAGAGACTTCGTATCACAATGGGTCATTTTAAAACCAACATCACTACCACAACAGTAAGGGGATTTATATAATTCAATTAGCTAGGTAAAAAAACATACCTTTTTTTTCTTTTTGCCGACTCCACCCATTCCCATCAACTCTCTTCTTTCAGAAAAGATACCTGTATTATTAGGACAAAAGAGGAAAAGTTTAAAAGCGTTAATAAACTTATAAAACATATATTCTAAAATTGAAAACTAAACTTCCAAGTCTTTAATCCTTGTTCAAGCATCACATCATAACAATATTATATATATGTATGTAGAAACAAAAACAAAAACAAAAAATCAATATGTAAAATATGAATAAATAAACATAACCAATAGCTAAAAATACTAATTAAAATTTAGAAAAAGTAAGAGTTTGTTACCTGATGACTAAAGAGGCATGTTTCTTGAACCTTGTTATCGCTAAAAGTTAAGGCCCGATGCTAATCATAAAAATAAGAAAACACTCTAGTTGTGAGGAAGAGGTTTCACAATCTCACTCATAACAATTAAAACACCACCATCTAAGTATTATTTGTATCATGTATCAACCCAACCCAATTATGCTTTCAGTCAAAATGTTGGACACCTATCCATAGAAAGAGAGGTGATTACAAATAGGTGTGATTAGCACATATTATACTCAGCCCTTATGTTAAATTAATCCAATAACAA